GTACCATAGAGCAGGCCATGTGGGGCCCACTTAGTGCCAAGGCTACCAGTCTGCTCGATGCCTCTGTGCCCATCTGAGATGCAGGTAGGTCACCGGTCACCTCACCTTCTGCAGGCAGATGACAAACTCAGCTCGAAAACCACTGACACCAGCACACAGAATTCATAGTGTAGGATGTGCTTACGTGTAGGAAATGTATATTACAAGTTCTACATTATACCACATACGAAGGCCTTCATTTAATGTGTATATATACAGGTATGTGTGAGCATGCAAGTGCTGCGAGTGGAACCAGAAGGTGAGAGAGAATCCAGGTCCAAGGGAGTCTTTTGTAAACAATTACCAGATGAAGAAGGCTATGGACATGACGTGGGAAAAGCAAGCAGCAGAACGGCCTGGCAGAAGGCCTGATCACACGGTAGCAGGGGGGGCAAGGCAGGGGGGAGCTGGCCTCACACAAACAGACCTGAGAGGCCTAACAGAACAGTCCCGGCAGGTCTGCGATTCGCATCAGGGGGAACGCGGCAGTCGACTCGGGGTGCTAATTACAGACCGCTCCTCCAGGATGGAAAAGGCCGCCCGCCTGCTTGCACTGGGGCCAGCCAAGCAGAACCAGACGGCTCCCACGATGCCTTGCATCTAGCCAAGGCTCAGCATCACAAACGGTGCAAAGCAGGCTGTGCGGGACCCTGCCTGTGAGGCCACAAGCAGCAGCTGCTGCTATATTGCAATAATTTGGTAATGCAGTCCCAGAATGCCAAGCGGGTAAATAATCCGGATAACTCTGTGAGCTAACTGGATAAAGCCCAAACCCAAGATGCAATCTACACATCTTATTTCTCACCAGAGGAAGAGAAACAGATGGAGAAGGGAGAATGAAACAAACAACCTTGTTTATGTAACGTAGCTCTTCACTTTTCGTGTTAATATGCTAAAGCGTGCACTAGAAAGAGGCTGAAGCACAGATTCTGTGACTCGTTCCCTGTTATGCCTCCCTTGAGATCGAGGCTGAAGCACAAATTCTATGACTCGTTCTTTATTATGTCTCTCACAAGCCTGAGGCTGAAGCACAGATTGTGTGACTCCTTCCCTGTAATGCCTCCCTCAAGACTGAGGCTGAAGCACAGCTTCTATGACTCATTTCCTGTTATGCCTCCGTTGAGACTGAACCTGAAAGACAGATTCTGTGACTCATTCCCTGTTATACCTCCCTCAAGACTGCAGCTGAAGCACGGATTCTTTGACTCGTTCCCTGTTATACCTCCCTCAAGACCGCAGCTGAAGCACGGACTCTTTGACTCATTCCCTGTTATACCTTCCTTGGGACTGAGGCTAAGACACAGATTCTATGACTTGTTCCCTGTTATACCTCCCTCAAAACTGCAGCTAAAGCATAGATTTCCTGCTATGCCTCCCGCAAAATTCAGGTTGAAGCGCAGATTCTGTGACCCATTCCCCATTATGCCTCCCTTGAGACTAAGGCTGAAGCACAGATTCTGTGACTCATTCCCTGTTATGCCTCCCTCAAGACTGAGGCTGAAGCACAGATTTTGTGACTTGTCCCCTGTTATGACTCCCTTAACACTCACTGGCTTCCTGCCATACAGGATTTCTATTAGACATATTGTCTCTCTCTGAAACCAGTTCAGATCAATCATAACTCCAGCAAACAAACTGAAGGAGTATCATATGGAAGAAACCTAGCACTACATGCAGTATATAGCAATAACCTTGGTACCGAATGACACACACCAGCTTATCTAAATGAATCATTTATTTGTTGATAATTGCAGAGTATAAAAGAGAGAATATCCCAGACATTAAACTGATATAAGGAAAAGACAGAGGAAATCGCCTCTCCTAACAGCCAATCCAGCAACTTCATTGGCTCAAAGTCACCTGCAGCTAAAATAAGGGCAGGTTAAGTGGCTGGTGCCTCCTCCCCAGTTCAGCAAAGTGCTTGTGTGCCCTCATAGATCTTCTGATTATTCCAATCATCTCCCTCCTCCGTCCCTCTGAGCAGTTTACAGTGAAATGCTGAGGCATTCATCCTACTGTAGGCATTCTGCAGGACGGAGTCAGGATGGAGTCCAGTCTGGCACGTGGGGACCAGCACACCTGAAGGACTGATAGCTCCAGATGACAGGACACAGAGACTGAATGACATTGCTGACAAACGATTGTTCTGTGCTACCTTTACTGTTTATTCCTGCAGCTTCTAGACTCAAAGATGGGCTGAAGGGGGCGGGGGTGCGGGGGGCAGACCTACGATTCAGCCTTTCTGTAAGGTCTGCTTCCTGCAGTGAAAATAAACAAGCACGACTCACTCTCCATCCTTCCCCTAGTTCTGCCCAACTAGGGAACTAAGTTTCGTCAAACAGAACTTTGAGCTCTTCCAGGGCGCCCTGATTCAGGCCCCTGTCAGACCCCTGGATCCCTCCACCCTAGATGCCCGGCTTCCGGCTCTTTTCCCAGCAAGGAAAAAAAATGCAATAAGCAGGGAGTGAAGGGAAAAAAGAAACAAAGTTGCCTCATTACCCTCATGTTGGATGTAGAACGCGGGCCGGCAGTCAGGCTCAGCATAGACCTTAATGTCCTCACATCCACATGCAGCAGGCATCGCGATGAAAGCAGCAGAGGGTCCTGCATCACAGCTCAGGCTGCCCAACATCTCCGCATCTAAATATTGCATGTGATCTAAATGCACTCGTTTAATGGACCGCAGGAGCCTTTAACATGCCACAGGTTTTCATTTTTTTACATCCCCTTCATCCTCGCTGCCTTTTTCCAGAACGATTTTAAGATCAGAAAGTCATGTGATTCTGAGTGTATATAATGGTGTGTGTGTGTGTGTGTGTGTGTGTTAAAGGTCTTATACACAGGGGCGTAGGAACCAGGGGGGATGGGTAGTGTGTGTGTGTGTGTGTGTGTGTGTTAAAGGTCTTATACACAGGGGCGTAGGAACCAGGGGGGATGGGTAGGATATGTACTCCCCCTAATATGGCTTCATCATCACCCCCTACCCCCGCGTACATTAAGCTGACCCCCACCAGCAAAACTCGCTCCTACACCCTTGCTTGACTCAGAGTCAAGTCGAGAATTCACGCATCTTAAGCAAGCGGAAATATTTCATACTGGAGTATGCAGTATACAGTGGTGCTCTGTGTGTGTGTGTGTATATATATATATATATACACACACACACACACACACACACACACACAGAGAGAGAGCTTATTCTCTGTAATCTATATGGTGCACTTGAACACTCTGACAAAGTCCCTTTCCACCCAGGTCACCTCCCCCAGGCTCAGTTACGCACAAATCCTAATAGCTTGCTTAATTCATTCATGAAATGCCAGTCATCTTTTACCTTGGTGGCACTCAGTTACAATGCATACATACGTCAGGAGCTAATGTGCGAAGCCACTGCGTTTGCGTAATCAGACAAACAGCGTAGGGCGTCTGTGGCATTTCGGCGCCCACGGTGGCATCGCCGTTTGCCATGCTGCAGCCATGCGAAATGCCCACACCGATATGAGAGCCGGTAGGATCGGCAAACCCCAACGACAGCCGGACGTCAGGCTCAGTCGCGGGGTTTCGGTTTGTGCTCACAGCGTCTACCGGCCTTATTAATTCCCCTCTGAAATGGGGAAACCGTTTAAGCGTTATTCGTGCGAAACAGTGCCGTTTATCTGCGAAAACAAAGGGTAGTCTTCCTTTTAATTAATAGACTTACAGGGCATCCACGGAATAATTATTCCGGATACTTTGTCTTTGGCAAGGTAGCATGGAGAAATGTGGCGAGCCGAATTATATATAAAAGACGGTGAGGTCTTTAAAAGGGACCCGACAGTGGTACAGAAAGACCCTTCTTGTTTTCATTAGTAACTATGAATAAAGACATACCTCCACATTTAATTGTATATACATTACGTGGAGCTCCCGGAGTCAGTTCCCAGCAAATAATGTGTTTAAAGACAATATAAAACATACGCATATCATCAATACAGAGATAAAGCATGGTATTCTTGCATATCCTATTCATTTTAAATGCAATTCGAGTGTTCGTGTTTTATTTCGCATCTCCAAACACTATCGTTGTATCCTTTCGATCATTTCCATAACAATAAAACACATTCGCTGGTCTCCCGACTGCTACTAATATGGCGTACTTAACATAGCAAAATGTGACTTTTTAAAAATAAAAACATGATCTAACAGATACGCGAAATATAGCAGCTATCTGTAGGTGCATTAGCAATTTTACTGACATATTAATATGCATGAAGCTTTAGGCAGGTAAAGGGAAACTATACTTAGGAATAAAAGCATGCTCGTCGTAACTGGACTGTACGTCGCCCTTTCGAAAAATACGGTCATATTATGTAGAAGATACCACACATAATTACGTGTCTAGGAATGTGATGTGTTTTGTTCGCGAAAGAAATTATACAGTTTGCATCATGCGCGTCCTACTGCGAACTCTTTATTGTGAAAGGGCAGGGTTTATACGAGGTAATGGACTGAGGTTACTTTTCAGAATACAAAATGCAACGACTTATTACCATATATCCACATATGCAGGCTCACACACACCCGCACATATGTATGTGTTGCACTATGCATCAGTTCACAATTCACAATGGTACATTAAAATGCGTTGAGTCATGAATGCATGTGCAACCTCCGACTATTATACAGTGATGATAGATGTTAACAAAATATCCATAACGACCTGATTCATACTACCACCTTGTCTACGGTTTATTTATCTAAGTCGATAAGAATAAGAGATTATTCTAATATATATATAATATAGTAGCGATACTTTTTCGAGAAGAACAAAGTCTGCTGACCAATTTTGAATTAACTACAATACACTAAAGCAGCACCTACAATTCAACAAGTAATACACTAATACTAACGCAATCGCAAGATGCATGTGTGCAAAACAGATATTAATATTTCATGTTACATTTCTTGAATGGTCCTCTTACCTGTATGGCTTGTGGTCGTCCGGCGTTTGCAGATCTAACGAAGAAGGGCAATTCGCAAATATAGTGCTCCTGTCTCGGTGCAACACTTTATGACCTTCAGACAGCCTAGGCGACTACGTATTCTATCTTAAAAACACAATGTGAAATGTTTAATAGTAATCCCATTGATGGCCGGGCGATCTGCGTTTACGGCAAACGCGGTGAGCGGAGTGTAGCCCGTGTGTGTGACAGCGGGCTCAAACCCACCCTGATCGCTCCGATCTGCGATCAGCTTCGGTCCTGCTTGGGAGAAGCTATCTGTCTCCACAGAGACACGTTTCAGTAGTTTACCATTACCGTAAAACACCCGACAGCAGCCACGGCGCAAATTTATTTATTCTACCACAACAGACGCCTCTCATTCATGTCTTCTATTCCAGACGTGAATCATCTTTGACTTCAATTGGTACGAAGCAAAATCATTAAAAACCAAATATGGCTTCGATTTCGTAGTTAAATTTATATTTAACTAAAATTGGAATGAAGCAATATGATTTAAAAATGTAATATGAACAAATATAAGCAATAATAGATAAGTAATTCGATCACTTGGACATAATGTTGAGCACAAGTTGTATAAATACTGTGTGAAAAAAATGTTACATTTTTACAATATTAAGTCATTCTGATTCCCTTTTACCAGCATTTATATCAGATCCGATTATATCAACAAAAAGGCCATAAAGACAAACTAGAGTATCCAATTAACATTTTTTTTTTCTTTTCGAAAGAGTAACACTAACGGGGCCGTGAAAAATCTTAAGAAAAATAAATAAATGTAAAGTCGAAGATACTAGAAAGAGTACAGTACAGCTGTTTTTGAAAGCTCGGCATGGAACTCCTCCCTACCCAACTATACTCTATTGCAAGAAGGGCGCTTTACAGTAAAAGACATACAGATCTGAACGAACCGAAACACAGATTGCCTAAACTAAAACAAATTCGGTATTGTTTACATTGGCTATTAATTTAGGATCTGTTAACTTATGAGATATGTTTAAAATTTAGAGAAATTAATAAGACAGAAAGGCGGACAATATCAGTAGAAGGTTTTACTTTCTAGTACGTTTCCCTTTGTTAAGAGAAAAGAAAGGACAGTGACGCCTTAGCATCAGCCTGTATTGCTGTTGTGTAACTCGGGATAGGTCACGTGGGTGTGGCAAACGGTCCATTCCATGGGTCACCGATTTCGGTTCTGCGTCAGTGGGGTTATAAAGGACACTTCACGTCTGAAGTGGGTCAACTCCTGCTCTCCAGAGGCCCCGATGCCTACAAAAATGCGATGCATCATTTCAGGGATAATTGCGTTAACAAACGCAAAGGTGGTGAGTCTAGTGAGGAGCGGGGACAAGGAGTGAGTAGCGGTCACTGTGATAAGAGTGAATTCCTCACTACATCTGCTAAAACAACTTTAAAGAGAGAATTACGCACCGCGTATATTGTAACATGAAGGTAGTTTTGAAGGTAATTTGTTGTGCTGCTTGATGCAATGACAATTTCGGGTGTTGCAATCTAATTTAATCTTATCATTACAGCGAGATACTCGCGAAGAATTTTATATGGATATTAAACGGTGAAACTATCCCTGTATTGCGATAAATGGTTACAACATATTTTTAAATTAAATGTTAACTGCACAAGCAGCCCATTTCAGGAAGGAAATTAACCTCTTTAAACAATTTAAAAATCAATAACAATTAATGTATAAAGACAAAATTCAGGCAATTGAAATGAAATGAAATTAAAAGTTAAAATATATGTAAAGAGGGCTGCAAATTGCCTTTATAGCCATATTATCTGAGCTACTGATTCCAAGCTACCAGACTGTCAATGAACTGTTCATTAACTGTATTCAGGAGGCAGTCAGGACAGAAGGGCTCCTTTATCTAAGACAAATTCCCCTAAAGTCCCAACTTTCTGCCGCTTCTCCTCCGCAGCTCCTCCTGAGACACCCTCCTGTGTGACCCTAGGCAAGCAGTTTGCCCCTCAAAGAAAGCTGGCTCTCCTTTGATACCACTGTAGTCCATCTCGGCACCGTGGAGACAAGCTGTGTTTCCTGTCCTCGTCGGCCCTGTGGAGAAGACAACCTCATCTGATCCCATTTCCCTTCATATTTAAATAACAAAAACTCCTTTAATTGCTTTTGCACGGACAGAATCTGACCAGGGAAAGGCCACAAACCAAGCTCCTGTGTAATATTGCTGGATTTAGTAATTATTTATCTGCTCATTACTTCAGTGATCTGTTTATTAATTTTCTTTTTCCTAGTATAAGTCTAACCAAAGACAGCGTAGCCAGTAGGACCATTCTTGGGAACAACAGCACTTTCAACTTCTGGATTAAATCCCCAAAAGGTCTTGGTTCATAAAACAGGCCTAGACGGTAACAGTGTCTTCATTTGCTTTGCTTAATGAAGTGCCAGGGCAGTGTAGATATACTTGATCAGCTAATAACTATCCATCTATGATCTACCATCTAGCTGTTTATAAAATGCAGTGTTGCAAAGAGCTTGGGGTCCATTCAATGAATCACAGGACAGTAGACAAGGAATGGCTAAGATGGCAGTCCGTGATGGGCACTGACCAGAATTTACTGAAATGAGCAAGAAAATAGAGCAGTGGAATTAACACTAGAGCAGCCCCTGTGTCTTAAACAAATTATGTTTCCTGTAGTGTTCAGCTGAAGAGATCAGACCAGGATATTTTGTGGTCAACATCCAAATAGTGAAAGCAGTCATGAAGTTAACTTCAACCCGAAGGTCACTGGCAAAGCTGAGGAGAGAGAGAGTGGAGTGGAGTTAATGATGAGCTTCCTCTGTGAGTCTTTCTGCAGGCACTCGGGGGGGAACATGTCTGTGGACAGGCTGGAGCCACTCGGCTGATAGACAGGACTGATAGCGGCATGGAGGGAGACGGTGTGGGCCTGGAGACAGATGCCAGAGCTGGCTGTGACAGCCACTGACACGCACACACACAGACACTAACACAGACACTGACACACACAGACACTGACACGCACACACACAGACACTAACACTGACACGCACACACACAGACACTAACACAGACACTGACACGCACACATACAGACACTAACACAGACACTGACACGCACAGACACTGACACGCACACACACAGACACTGACACGCACACACACAGACACTGACACGCACACACACAGACACTG